AAACAGGTGGGACACCAACTGAATTTTTTCTGCATTTTGCCCAGGAAGACAAGGACAGGTGGTAGCTGGTTGAAGATGGCTACCAAAAGTGTGAGGGCAGAGGAAGACTTGGGGTTGGGGGTGGAAACAAAAGGACACCAGCAAAGAGTGAGGGAGGGAGAATTACTTTGCAGAGTGAAACAAAGACATGTGGTAGGAGAGATAGGAGGACACAACAACGTGAGGGAAGGGGAATATTTGCAGATTAGATAAACGTTGAGAACAGCAAAGCCCAAGTAGGGACCAGCAGCCCACATCAATAATGCTGATGCCGAGACAGGCATAAAGGAAATTAATGGCAGAAAGTAACAAAGAACCCCCAGGTCCCATAAACAGCCAGGACACTGAGCAAGCCAGAAGGTTAATTATAGGAAAACCGAGATGGCTGACTGGCAACAGAAACACTGCAGGGGGCTGAGACGCTATAAGTAGGAGAGCCAGGACTGAGCCAGTGTCCTTTGGTGTCAGCTCCCCAGATCCTTATTACTGCAGAGCTGCAGCTAGGTTGATGCAAGGACTCTTCACGAGCTAGGACTGAGTGAGTATAGATAAAAATTCTATCCACAACTCAATGAGCAAATTACCCGCATCTTAACATCCCTAGACAGCACCAGATACAAAAACACTCAAAGTGCTGTCAGTGTGGAGAGTGCAAAGAAGGACTCTAAAGAAAAATGAGCATCAGTAGAGCTCTGCATGGATATAAAAATGTGGAGCCACATCCAATCTGCAATTCAGATTTTATTTGTATCTGCACAAAAAAATCTTGAGAGGTAATGAAGAAGAAACACCAATAAGCAAAGATGGGACAAGATCCCGCATGGAAGAAGCAGGCAGCAGCAGGGATAGTGTGTGTGCTCAAGTAGCAAGACTGTCACATTTTTTATTTTATTATTAGTCTCTTTTGAGCTAGGGATGTTAAAAACCAATTAATTAATCCAATAGTTGATGGGATTTCCATTGACTATTCAATTAGTTGATAAAGACTATCACGCGTTCTGCCTTTAAAATGTACAAGAGCCGTTCCTGGGGCTCTTGTACATTTCAAAGATTTAAACGCAGCATGGAGCCTGAAGCCAGCGGGGAATCCCCCACGGATCCCAGGCTCCATATTCGGCGCTTCCGCTTTAAAAATGTACAAGAGCCCCAGCATGGAGTCTGGGATCAATGGGGTGCTCCCTGCTGGCCCCAGGCTCCATGCAGTGTTCCAACTTTGAAATGTACAATAGTTCCCACTGGGGCTCTTGTACATTTCAAAGAGGAAGTGCAGCATGGATCCTGGGGCCAGCAGGATACTCCGAATCCCCCGGTTAACCCTGGGCTCCATGTGGCGTTTCAATCTTTGAAATGCACTCGAGCCCCTACTGGGGCTCTAGTACATTTCAGAGAGGAAGCACCGCCGCTGAGCCGCTACCCCATCCCAATGAGTTGGAGCTGGAGAGAACCGGCTTCTTTGATAGAGGCAGCAAGGGGGGAAGCAACTAGTCAACTAGTCGATTAATCGCTTAATCCCTATTTTGAGCACTATTGTTTTCATTCCTACATACAGAAAGAGGGTGGGGGGGAAGGATGGATCAGCAACTACCTGTTGGATTTCCACACTTGTGGAGGCTTCTGTCCTTTTTTAACAATGTGCTTGGGTCTCTGCAGATCAGTGCTCACCAGGCAGATGAAGGGGGAGAGAAAGGGGCTGGGTAGGGCCAGCATTCAACCTTTCCTGCAGGGAGATTTAGGACACAGCTTCTTGAGTCCTTTCCCTCCTTCTGTGTGGCAGGAAGAAGTGAAAAGAACAGGGCTGCGATGGTATCCTCTTCACTATCTGTGGATATGCAGGGCTACAAGCTTCAGTACAAAGATGTTAGTCTCCAAAAACAGTACATTACAGTGAGATGAGGGCTAACAAAATTTAGGGCTGCTTTACACTAGGAAATTAAGCTGGTATAACTACAGACTGTCCCCGACGTGTGACGTGATCAGTTCCAGGAATAGCGTCGCAAGTCAGGGGCATCGCAACTCAGGCCCACATTTATGACAGGCGTCGTACGCCACCGTAAATGTGAGGACGTAAGTCGGGGGATTTCGGCCCTTTCCGCACTTACGGAAAAGGTCGTAAGTGTGGGGGGTTGTAAATTGGGCCGTCGTAAAGTGAGGGCCTGCTATGTGTCAGTATTGAGCAGGGATCTAAATTGTTAACCTTAACAGGTGAAGCTTTTCCACTGTGAAGCCTTCTCCCTAGGAGCCATGACTTCACTGCAGGCAGTACTGTAGAAAGCTTATTTAAGCTTTGTACTGCAGAATCTACAGTGCATGCAGCCGTGTAACCAGTAGGAGTTTTAGCGGTTACATTATTAAACAACTTTTACATCTGTGCAATGTCTTTAAACTGAACTGACCCCCAGCATAGATAGCACTAGGTCAATAGGTAAATTCTCCCATCAACCCAACTACTGCCTCTCCAGGAGATAGGAGTGCCTATCTTGAGGGAAGAAGCCCTCCTGTTTTCACTGAAGCACTACAGAGGTACAACTGCAGTGTTTTAAATGTGAACAAGCTTTGAGTGTTTTTAAGAGAGTATAACAGCACTGAGAGTTTAAGTACACCATACTCCAAAAGGTTCTCTAGAGTACAAAGCATCTCCTAGAAAACTGCTGGGGAATACAAACGGACAAATCTCTAAGGGGGCAATTCACTCTTCAAAAAATGGAGATGGATTATTTACGAGGTCGTTTCCCATTTGTAACTTCTGCAATTCTTTGATTCTAGGGAAGCAAAAGCTTTAAAAGTAAAACCCCATGAAATGTTTCCTGAAATGGATACTTTAGTAGAGTACAAACAGCTAAAATTTCAGCAGTTCTGTAGGATCCACCTCATTAGGAAATTTCCCTTTTATCACAATAAAGTAGTGATGAGAAACAGGATTCTGAGCATTCTTTGAAAGCAGGAATAATTAAGCTTCCCACACCAAAAAGAAGGATATATCACATAGATGCTAGTAAACTGTATCTATGAATATGAACTTTAGCTGATATGCCATCCTCTCATTTTCACCTCAAGTTATAGGCTTACAAAATGCAACTAACTGTAAGGATGGAGAATAAAGAATGGCATGAATTTGCAATCCTATAATTTAACAATAAAATATTCATGCGGCAATAGCTCAGACGGCAGGAAGAGACCCTCAAAACTATGGAATGCTCACGATAGATCAACAGAAAGCTCTCGCAGACAAAACACCACCACAAAATGCTCACAGGACAAACATAGAAAAATATTTTGCATTTATATAGCATCTTTTACCAGTGACCTCCATTTTACAGTAAAAGCCCTTTAACTCAGCATGGAGAAATAGGGGGTGCCAGTAAACTAAAAATGTCATTTAAGAGGGAGGGATTTAGAGTAGGGGGGACAGAGTGCAGGGCAGGGGACAGACTCTGGGACAAAGCTTGCATCCAGCATGGCATTCGGGCCTGGAAAGGGCGTGGTGTGCTGAATGGGGAAAGGAACTCTCTTCTGACAGCCCCCACAAGCAGCCAGGTAGGTCTGCTGCAAGCCTCCATCTGCAGGTGCCACCCACCGCAGTTCCCGTTGGCAGCAATTCCCAGTCAATGAGCTGTTAGCCTTGGAGTTAGTACTCAGGGTGGGGGAAATGGAAGCAGTGTGCTTGCCAAGCCACTAACTAACCACGTCTCTACCAGCAACAGCAAAGATAGGGAGCCACTGGAAGTGAGCGCCTCCCATCCAGCATCCCGAGCTCCTCCTGTGACCCAACCTCTGACCCAAGACCCCTTTTGGACCCTAACTCCCTCCCAGAAAGTGCTCTGAAACCTCTCCCTCATCCCAACCTGCTATTAGCTATGCACCAACCATCCTATAAACTGGACTTTCCGTGCAGATCAGAAATGGCAGTTTATGGAGCTTGCCAGTTTGTGAAGTGCCAGATAAAAGGGCTTTACTCTACAAGCCTCAAAATTTAATATGCACATGAGATGGGCAAGTTGTACATCCCTGTGACAAACTTGTACACAGAAAAGTTAAGTGACTTTCCTAAGGTCTTACTAGGTATTAATGACAGGGTCGAAAGTGCCAACTCGTTGTTATGACCCTGAGATCATAATTAGTGAATAAAATACAAAAGGGCTGGTAGAAACAAGAGGACTTTTTAAAAAAAAATTACTTTATTACCAGGGATTTTGCCAAACAATTAAAAGATAATTGCTTTCCACACTCTGGGTTTAAGAGCTGAGTTCATATACTAACAATTCTCCAAAGTCAGAAATGAACAGTTTTATTTTTTTTTTCCAATAACTGAATAAGTGGTGAAGATTTGAATACTTATTCTATTTCATTCTACATATTTCCATGACTAATGACTATTATTCTAAGTTTATAATGCATTTCTATTTTAAAGTAAATTAACTGTAGCATTAAGCCAATGTCTTTAGAATAGTTAATATTAACTATACCTGAAAGAGCCTCAAAGAAGAGAGTCTAGCTTCTGGATACGAGCAATGAAACAGTAAAGAAGCACACATGCATCAGATACGACAAAAAGCTAGTGATAATTATCAAGATAATTAAAGTGAAATAAAGGTAAATCTAAGGAAAAGATATGGATAAAATAAAATAGCAACATCTGTAAATATTAGGTATAAGCACAGAAAAGCAGCTTGCAATTTTAGCAAAAAACTTACAACATAGGGACAATGACTAAATAAATCTAAAGTTGTAAAAAGCAGCAAACCATTCAGTAGGTTACATATGTGTATACTGAATAAAAGTTTAAAAGAATAAAACTGAAGGAAAATCATATGACAGTACATACACTGCACACACAAGAAAACTAAATGGAGAGTACATCCTAAGCATGCTAAAAAGCACTTTCTACCATATTAGAAAAGTGAGAACCTTCCTTTGCCAGAGTACAGCAAACTGATGCTTAGGCAGAAGTACCATTTGCTTACCTCTTGTAACAGATCTGCCTGCTCAATGGCTTTGAGAACATTTTTCTTGGAGGTCTCCTGAACTTCCCCTCCCAACAGGAACTCATCCAGAATAAAATAAGCCTTTTCAAAATTAAAGATGATATCAAGTTCACACACCTGAAAAACACAGTAAGTGTTATAATGGGGGAAGTAGCCCAGTCTTATTAAGGTTGTCCTATGCTTCCTGCCATTAGATTCTCTCTCTTGCTCATAACTTAGCCCAACTTTTTAGCCTTTGCCGGAGGCTGTATCTTCGAAAAATTTCAGCCAAAACGGTTCAGTCACTTCTGAGAACGTGGTTAGTGAGGCATACATCTTGTACATGTTAAAAAAAATTCTTGTGATATTTTTGTTATGATAAGCTCCAGTACCTCCATGTTTTGGAATCGGTATTTAAAATCTGGAAAGGAGGCGGCAGTGTCAGGGATGGGCCTTTCACTCTCCCCATGAGAATCCACCCAAATGGACCAAATCACAAGCATTTGAAAAAACACAGTTCATATCTGCTAGTAGAGACTTGCTTGAGCTTCATAACTAGGAGGTTGAAAAGAACTTTCCCTAAAACTGTAGCTGAAGGAAAGCAGATTGGGGAAGGTACCTGGGAAGAAAAGGGAACAGGACAGATGACCATCTGCTGACCTGACAAGGGTGTTGTGAAGGTAAGTTAGTTACCAAGTTGGTTTGGCAATCTAAGTGATGTAAGATTTGCCATATCCACGTCCATCAGAAATCCATATCCAGGAGCAAACATCACTTTTAAAAAATATTTTGTATACTGAATTAGATGATGTACTTGCTATATTAACAAAAGCACAACAGAACTTTGTAAAAATGAAACCAAAATCAGAACCACTAACTTACACTGCCAAAATACTTGTCAAGTAGTTCCACATAACGATGAATTATTTCCAGGGTTATCAGTTCATTGTCCTGATCTTCAATAGCACAGCAAAAGTAAAGACTTGCATATCTGCAACAACAACAAAATTATTGTTAGTATAAAACCACCAATGCCTATGTCAGTTAAATTACTGCTCCTGAAAGATACCAAATTGTCCTCAATCCTGGAAATTAAGATCTGTTATCCTCAGAAGCAGCAGACTAGAGGCAGCAGCACCACAAACTTGCCCACACAGTATGCCTGCTGTGACTAAAAAATAACTGGCAGGGACAACCTCCATGGATAAAATAATTAGGTTATTAGTAAGCATGAGATTTACTGATATGCTTTCTGGTTAAAACCACTGCCAGTGAACTCCAGTGGTGACCAGTCTGCTGGGCCAGCGCACCCAGTGGTGGAACCTAATGATCAAGTCAATATGGTTACCCAGTTAAGCGCTCTCGTCTAATCAGTTAACCATTTTAACATCTCTACAAATAATATTTCAATTTAATAACATACGAATGGCCATACTGGGCCAGACCAAAGGTCATATAGCCTAGTATCCTGTCTTCCAACAGTAGCCAATGCCATGTTCACCAGAGGGAATGAACAAAACAGACAAATCATCAAGTAATGTCACCCATTCCCAGCCTCTGACTAAGACTAGGGACACCATTTCTACCTATCCTGGCTAATAAGCATTGACGGGCCTATCCTCCATGAATTTATTTAGTTCTATTTTTTAATCCTATTAAAGTCCTGGTCTTCATAACATCTTCTAGAAAGGAGTTCTACAGATTGTATGAAAAAATGCTTCCTTTATTGTTTGTTTTAAACCTACTGCCTATTAATTTCATTTGGTGACCTCTAGTTCTTATGCTATGGGAACAAGTAAATAACTTTTCCTCATTCACTTTTTCCACACCAGTCATGATTTTATAGACCTCTCGCAGTTTCTACCCCTACCCCCAACTCCTCTTTTCTAAACTGAAAAGTCCCGGTCTTTTTAATCTCTTTTCATATGGCAACAGTTTCAACCCCCTATTCATTTTTGCTCCCCTTTTCTGAACTTTTTTCAATGATAAGATATATTTTTGAGATGAGGTGACCACATCTGTACATAGCATTCAAGATGTGGGCATACCATGAATTTATACAAAGATAATAAGATATTCTCGGTCTTATTCTCTCTCCCTTTTTAAATGATTCCTAACAGTGTTTGCTTTTTTTGCCTGCTGCTGCACACTGAGTGGATGTTTTCAGAGAACTATCCACAATAACTCTGATCTCTCGAGTGGTTATTGCTAAATTAGTCCCCATCATTTTGTATCTATATTTGGGATTATTTTTTCCAATGTGCATTACTTTGCATTTATCAGCATTAAAATTAGTTTGCCATTTTATTGCCCAAATCAAATGGCAGAAATACACACGTTATTGTAACAAGCAAACAAACGTTTAAAATCATAGGAATCCCAACTATGAACCACGAGAATTGTTGCTCTGATCCTGGAACAAAGGCAAAAGAGAACTAATTTCCTTTTGCTTGATCACTACAGGACAGGGAGTCCTCAAAATAATGTTGAGGAACTATACAGAACTAGGATCTGATTCACTACTACATTAGTCCAATTTTATGCTGATATGATTTAACTGAAGCTACACCAATGTACAAACTAAAATAACAAAATAGTGAAACCGGCCCACAGTGTTTACATTTATTCGGGCCTCAAAACTTTGTCCTGCGGAGTTCACATCAGGGGTCTGGTGGGAACTCATCAGCTTGGCTATGCTTTGCAACAATATAAATTTTTTCACTTTCTGGTGGAGATATAAGAGCAGCCTTCCTAACCACAGCAAGGAGTTGCACTCCCAATCCACAATTGACAATGTGCAGTGACTCCATGACTACACAGATGGCAACTGTAGAAAACTTCAAAAGGGGCTGAACATCCACATCCACCTGTGCTCATCCAAATAAAAGGCATGCTCTACACTTAAAATTAGCCTAATTTCAGACACTGGTATAGTTACTATAGCCCAAATCCCTAACATATATAGAAGGAAAGCTGCAATTTGCAGTGGTGGAACTCTGGTTTCATGAAGGAGTCAGCTCCACCTGTGCAAATTGCAGCTTTCCATATATACCAGGGTTTCCTAACCTATGTGCCAGGACCCATATATGGGTCGCCGTTACATTTCAAAAGGGTCGCCAGTTGGCTCTTAAGGAGACATTCACACATTTTTTGAATTCCCCTGGGTCACCATGTCTTCCTGAATTGTCAAAATGGGTCCCCCTCTGGAAAAGGTTGGGAACCGCTGGGGATTTGTGCTACTACAGCTACACCAGTTATTTAAACAAGACCCAATTCCACATGTAGACGATGCTCAAGATTCTCTTCCACAAGTCAATCAAGGCAGATGGGGGTCTCATTAGAAAAGGATCTAGGAAGGCCATATACCCCACTCTGCTCCTTACATAAAACATTTCCTTGATTGGTTCCATCAGCTAGACTCAGCCTATGTGACACTAAGGAGCTTTTGTTTCCATTATTATTGCCATCAGGGTTCAGGATTTGCTCCTAAGTTAGCTACTACACTAAAATGCACCCTATTTTCCATTATGGCTTTCCAGCGACAAGAGATATTGAGACACCTGAACTAACATTTCAATTGGAAAAATTTTCCATCATCTGGGAGCCATTTGCATATAGCTATGAGTACAAATATCAGCAGGTAGGTATCATACCCAATTACACATTTAGTGATTGCATTTGTATCTTTGGCTTAAATTTGTAGTAACCCTGTAAGAGAATTACTGTTACCCAGAGACAGAAAATTTACATGGCTTCTCTACTGAGTGGTCTGTGAGGAGGGACCAGTGAGCAGTATTTCAAAGTTTACACAACATACTCTCCACTCTTAAACCCACAAAAGAGAAAAGTTACTTGTACAGATATTTTCAAACTTCATTTTTTGCCCGGTCACCTAGTTTTGTGCTATCTTTTTGAATATCTTCACACATTGCTTGGGTCTTAACTATTTTGAGCAATTTAGTATCTGCAAATTTTGCCACTTCACTGTTTACCCCTTTCTATGGCCTTTTTAATCACTGGCTTCTCTAAGGTCAAATAGAGATGGCTAAAAAATGAAAAGAAAAAAATTTAGCTTTTTCTGTCAAACTTGATTTAACAGAAATAGAAACATAGGAACTACATTGTTAATAACGCAAAGATTTTTTTAATACATTACAAAGCAAATTATGTCTTTTATACACAGTTGTATAAATCGCTTTCTACTGGCTTGGTTTTTAAAAGGATACAGAAGCCTCACAACATAAGATATAAAAATCTAGATTAGAAATAATACATTAGGGTTTAAATATCAGTCTGGAGAAACAAGAATACTTGTGTGCTGTTTTAGCACATTAGTCTGAAGCTTATTCTAATTACTAGCACACAAAGCAAGTCTGTCTGAATACTTCTATTCTGTTACTCAAAGCACATGACTTCCTCCACATTCATTTTAATGTCAGCTGAGTATTGCTAGGTTCAGCTAAATTGTTTCTCCTCTAATGCGTAAGGATAATTTGAATCTCATGACAACAGCAGACCTTCATTTCAAGTTAAATGAGTAGTAAGCTCTTACAAGAACAGGCCTTAAATATAATCTAAACAATTTGAATTGTTTCAGACAAAACAGCTTTTGTGCCACTTAAAAAAAGTACACTCGCTCCACAACACGATTATAATAGAGTCCACAACTAAGATTTTAAAACTAGAACCTTTTCTGAGACCATTTTAATACATAAAAGTATGTCTTGAGAATATGAAAGAGTACATAGCCTACAGGGGTGGGAAACCTTTTTGAATCAGAAGCCACTGACCCACAGGAAAAAAAAATCAGTCGGGAGGCTGAACAAAAGAAGTGAGAAGAAAAAAGCAAAGCGAAAAAAAAAAACCCCACCATCTGAGAAGCAGAAAGATACTTCCCCATATTCTCCTCGCACAGGAAAGCCTTGGAGGTCCCAGGCTAGTTTCCATGGAGGGAGTTACAAGAGAAGGCGGTGTGGGACTGGAGCACCAGCATGGGCTGCCAGAGCTTCAGGGGCTGGATCTAGGCAAGCCAGGGGTCTAATTCGGCCCCGAGCCTTAGGGTCCCCATCCCTGGCCTAGATCTTTCTTCTTTAAAGACTATACAGTTTGTTTTTATGAACATATTTAAAGGCAAATTAAAAGTAGGAAACATTCTATGGTATTTAGGATTAAGTTAAAGCAAGCATTAACTAAAACACATTTTCAAGTTCTACAACATGCAATTTGGAGGGGAAACCTACTATGTTTTAAATAATTTTTGTGGATTTGTTTGTGCAAACTCAAGTCATATTTTGTGATTATACAGATAACACATTTTGCATAAACAATCCTGCTACTTAAATAGCTGAATGAACTACTTTTTACACTAAAATATGCTGGGTGAAAGGTTTAAATAATTATTTTTGGCTTTCATTGGACAAAAGTCATGACTATTATCAGGGCTCGCCAGCCGCGCTGTCCAGTGATCTGCGCATGCGCAGATCGGCTGAATCCGGCTCTTCCAGGTTGCAATCTACTCGCCACGAGCGAGTAGATTGCATTATTTGTCGAGCTCTGACTATTATGATTAGAGTTCATAAAAGTATTTGCTAACAAAATTAAAATCGAGTCACCTATTCAATTGTCATTTTAGTGCAAAGAAAATTTTTACTTTTACAAATCACAAAGTAATTGAAATTAGTTCTGGAAAGAGTAATGGAAGCTTTACAAGTTTCTGATTCAAATTTACTGTGCATGGTATTCAATAAAATACTGTGTGAAGTTGAAATCCCATAAATTTAAAACTGTTCTTTAATTTCCCTTCTGCAAGCACATTAATTAAAAAAACTATTACATATATTCTAATTTCTTGGACTTTCCTATAGGTGTAATCTACGCAAAATGACTTTGCCTGGTCAGCGACAGGCCTCACCTGCTAGTTTTAAATATATTTAAATACAAAAGCATCTACGCTGGCACCTTTAATACAAAGGTTAAAGTCAAAGTTGCCTTTAATGATACACTGGCTAGGAAGAAAGCAGTCTTTCAAAACAATGTCAGCAATAATCAAATAATCAAAACAATAGTAAGCCTGACCTCTTAAAGAAACACTCCCATATTCAGAGGATACCACTGGCAATCTGGTAGCAGACCTATGTAACTTTGTTCTCACCCACAATTATTTCCAATTTGGGGACAACTTATACTGCCAGATCAGCGGCACAGCCATGGGTACCTGCATGGCCCCACTGTAAGCTAACATCTTTATGCCTGACTTAGAACAACATTTTTTCAGATCCCATCTCCTTTTACCCCTTCTCTACTTACGGTACATCGATGACATCTTTATGATCTGGACCCATAGGCAAGAAACACTGGATGCATTCCATAGAGACTTTAACAACCTACATCCCACTATCAATCTCAGCCTGGACCATTCTACACGAGAGATCCATTTCCTGGACACCACTGTAAAATTACCAGTGGTAAATTAGATACCACTCTCTACAGAAAACCCACTGACTCAGAGTTACCTAAATGCCTCCAGCTCCCATCCACAAAGAAAAAACAGTTTTCACAAAGAAAAAACAGTTTCTTGCCATTTCAACCAGACTGGGCGTTGTTTCAATGACCTTATTACATGCATCCTGCTTCAAAGAGACTTTAACACCTGACTACAAAGAGAAGCCTCAGAACTGTCATTCATGCTTAAATTTGACACTTTACGAATGGGCCTTAACAAAGATGCTAATTATCTTACCCATTACAAATATAGCTTCCCCAATTATCACCCCTAATATCATTATCTCAGACACTAACCTCCCCCTCCTCCTGTTCTAAAATCTGATTTGTCGATTTTATGTGTTCACTTTTTTTTTATTGTATCTCTTTGATATATATGGTCATGCTAATTTTCTTCCATAATTTGATCTGAGGAAGTGGGTCTGGCCCACAAAAGCTCATCACCTAATGAACCATCTTGTTAGTCTTTAAAGTGCTGACAAATCAGATAGTTTTAAACATGTTTTGAATAACTTTTTTATGCATTCAGAATATTTGATAACTTTAGTTTATTAATTAAAAACTAAAATGTTATTTGCATTTTACTTGCATATCATTTGCTATCCAAAGCTCAAAACAACCACAAATAAAAAAAAATCTAGCAAATAAATGCATTAACTGTTTTCTAACAATGCATATGTTAGAAAAATTAAACATCTGAATAAATGTAAAGTAAGCTATAGAACTGCTTATATTAATGTGCATACATAGTGTTTCCTCCTACTTTACAAAAAGCAGTATCAAATTAAATATAAAGGCTATATTTAGTTACAAACTAATTTTTTAAATATCAGTGAGAAACCATTTCTCTTCATGAGTAAAAAGAAAAAACAATTAAAACTGATTACTTTAAACTTTCTTTGTACCATGCTCTGTAATACAGCCGGTCCCCAAGTTACGAACGGGTTACGGACCAAACACTTGGCCATAACTCGAAATGTTTGTAAGTTGGACCCCATTGAGTTACATTGCGACCGCGCTGTTTGTAAGCACGGGTTGCGTTTGTAACTCGGGGACCACCTTTATGACCGCTTAATGGGAGGTTTGGTCATAAATGAGAATGGTCGTAAATTGACCATTCGTAACTTGGGGAACGGCTGTATCTGAAATTCTAAACATTTAATAATTAAAGAAGAAATATGTACAAAGCATTCAGCCATTCAGACTATTAGAAACACGTGAAGAACTACCCCATAAAACTAAAAATGTTAAATATTGTGTATTTTTAACAATTCATGTTTTTTACCAAACATGATCCAAACTATCACCAAAAATGGGATAGATGGCAGAACTTGATAGCGGATTAGTTCAGGATCCTCTGTAGCATCATCAAACTTGCATCTCTTGCTAACGAAGATCATAACTCTTGCCAAAGTGTGTCAATTACTATAGAGTGTCTGGTTTTCTTTGGGCTACCTGCTTATGACAAAGTCTACAAAACCTCTCCCAATATGAAGGATTGCTTCCTTTTAAGGCTGCTCTTGGGCCACCAGAGGTTGCTTATTCCGTTTGCTTTTCATTAGTATATTTGGAAAATGTACTTCTCCCAATGCCAAATACACTTATACCTATCAGACTAAGGCTACGTCTAGACTGGCATGATTTTCCGCAAATGCTTTTAACGGAAAAGTTTTTCCGTTAAAAGCATTTGCGGAAAAGAGCATCTAGACTGGCATGGATGCTTTTCCGCAAAAGCACTTTTTGCAGAAAAGCGTTAGTGCCAATCTAGAATTTGCAGAAAACAGTACTATGCTGTCTACACTGGCCCTTTTGGGCAAAAGTCTTTCAGAAAAAGACTTTTGCCCAAACAGGAGCAGCATAGTTTTTCCTGAAAAGCACTGATGATTTTACATGAGATCGTCAGTGCATTTATGGAAATTCAATTGGCCAGTATAGACAGCTGGCAAGTTTTTCCGCAAAAGCACTTGCTTTTGCAGAAAAACTTGCCAGTCTAGACGCAGCCTAAGTGTTTTTTATCTATCACTACTTAAACACAGTCCTCTTAGTAGTATTCTTTGAGCTGCACAAGAACCATGACTATCCAAAGCTGAAGAAAAACAAGGAAAAATAAACAAAGGAAAAATTAAATTACTTCCCCAACATCAAATAATTTTCCATAAAAAAAAAAACTACAAACGCAATTGTTTTAATAAATTCCTCAACTTAATTCCACCTGTTGGTGAGGAGAATGAAACTAGTGATTACAATGGATACTATAGATCTTTGTTAATAGGTTATAAGGACTCAAAGTATGTATGCATACCCCCTCTCTCAAGTACTGCCTAGAAATGTTCCATGATCAATTAGCAAGACATAAAAGGCACACATTCTATATGCATGCTTCAAGTGATACAATATCCTCTTTCATTCTGAGGCACTGATCTTGCTAATATAAGCATACCTTTACTCACATGTTTTAGACTGACAATCAATGTCAGGACTGATATGAATAAAGGTATACACAATTACAAAAAGGCAGGACCGTGGCTTAAGTGTCAAATTCTTTCTTGAATATAGCTATACTATTTGCCACAATACATCAATATTATTTACATAATAATTTCATTTCCATTTTTAAGGTGGAGAAATCTATGCTATCAACAGAAAAGTCAACAACAGTAGAGCAAAACATTTATAGCCCAAGAAAGAATTACAGTAAATACTAAAAACAAACCTCTGATGTTCCCTGATTTTCCTACTTAAATATTAAAACTGAAAGAATGAAACTCCTTTTATAAAATTAGCTTTTGGCAGGATGCATTTATTTCTTTCATCTCAATGAATTATCAATTACTGTAATTTTTGGAGAAAAGCAATTTCACTGCCGTTTTGTATTACATTCAAAAGGTCTGCAGAATCAAAACATTCCACCTTAGTATTTTGCTTGTAAACAGATACAAAGAGAGCTTTCTAAGAAAACTGCATAGTATTTTCACCCATAGAAAACTGATCTTGATTTCTCAAAGTGAAAAAATATTTTTTTACTGATAGCAAAAATCTAATCTTATTCATATATATGAGGCCTTTTAGAACAAATTATGTTGAAACCAATTTAAATCATCCACTGCTGGAGATAAACATATTTACATAGAGTTTAATCATTCTAAATATCCATTAAATCATACATGTTTTCCTATTTGTATGTCTTGTTTTACTTAGTGCTGAACACAGAACCAGAAAGAATCATTCTCTCAAATTTAAGAAAATCTAATCTCTGTTCTTCAGCACATTTCTAAACGCATGAGTGCTCTTTACACATGAATGCTTCCTATTAGATTATCAAATTAGATCTAAGAAAAAGCTCAAAATGAGCCTGTTTTCATAACCAGTAAGGGAGAAAACATACCACTTCTATTATTATTTTTTACATCTAATAATTACAAGCTTAGTGAGGCAGAACCACCTTTTGTAGACAATCTTCAGGTCTCTCCACTCCAGGAAGCTGCACATTTTCGGTTTACGAGCTAGCACTGTCTGAACAAGTTCTCTTGTTATTTTTTTCTTCTCTTTGTCAGACAATGGGACATACCACTTCTGAAGTCTCAGCTTCCCCTGACGACTAAAAAGCAACATAAACTGCATCTGTTGAATTAACAAATAAAAGTGTAATTATTTGTTCAGCTGTACTGAATGCAAATAGTTTAAAATTAGTTTCATTGGTTGAAAAATATTTTAATGTAGAAAAAGATAACCACATATTCCCCCAAACACAATTGAAAATGAGATGTATCAAAGACTGACATGCTAAAGCTATCTACAAGATATTTTAAGAGGTGACCACTGTCTTAACTAAAGCATGTTCTATATAGAAAAATGAAGCACTGTTGATAAGATGTCCACAACAGTTTGAACAGTGAAGATGTTCAAGAGTAACATGTAGACAAAGAAACAGTGTTCAGGAATTTCAAAAACAGAGGTTAATGTCACCAGATGCTGAACACATAAGTCTGTGCTTGCAGCTTTAGCCATGTTCAGCACTAGCGCATTCACATATTTTTGCTGATACTCACGGTCATCAACACAGCTGTTCCACTGTAGACAAATGAAAAAAAAATGCACAATCACCTGCCTAACGTCAAAATCTAAATTCACTGTCGACTGGCTTATAGGCATTGAATGAAGAACACTTTTTTCCACACCATTGTTAATTTATTCCAGTGTGTGAAAGCGCTTGCAAGACACTGATTAAGACTCCTAACATCCTAGGAGGAGGCAACCCTTTTCCCCGTATGACCAACAAGGAAAATGGAACAAAATGAAGAGGCCGGCTAAGGACCGCTGTGCCAGGTCGCAACGCTCCCCCTCCCCACCACCACCACCACCACACACACGGTGTGATGGGACTATGATGTTTGAGAAACCACTTATCTGCAGCGCGTTTTCTTGCGATGATGGGACCGAACGTACTTTTGGGGGGTTTTTTGGGTGGGTTTCTGTTTTTTGTTTTTTTGTTTGGCCTCTGAGGTCTGTGAGGTCTGTTGAATGGAAGAGCGAGGGGCCGCACCAGCACCCCCCTGTCG